CCTGTGAACGCCATTTCCCATTATTTTGTACCCACATGCATACATGTGTGATCACACCTGTTGTGTACTACCGTCTCCTCCCTCCAGGTTTCCACATCCCTGGCCAGCTGTCACTCTGAGGTCTTTCCATCTGAACTGATATGTGGCTATCAGACTCTCAAGTCACCTGGTGGCGGCAAGACTGTGCTCATAGCTGGTAGCTCAAGTGGTCAGGAGCACATTCCAGCAGGATCAATGAAATGTAAGGTCCCTCTGCATGGTGCTTATGAAAACCAAAAAGTTGGACTGAATCCTAAGCAGTGTTTTTCAGAAGAATATGTAGGTCATGTGTGCTAGCTGAAGACTTACTAAATTGGCTGGTGTTATTGCTTGTGTCTAGTTATCCTCCCAAAGTCTCATGCAGTTATGGGGTGGACCTAGACTTTGTGATTAATTCATAGCCCAGGGCTGGAATTACAGGTGTGAGTTCTGCTGGGGTTATGGGTATGAGTTATACCCCAACCTGGGGAGGATAGCCTGAACACAACATAAAGAGACAGAAGCACACTTGCTCTCTGTGGCGATTGCTGCCACTACTCCCTACTCTTCCCTATTGCTCTCTGCTTCTTGCCACCACCATGAACTACTGCCCTCTGCCATGTGCCACTCTGCCTTGGAGCCAGCTGAGTATGGACTGAAATCTCCCCCGACTGTGAGCCAAATAAACCTTTCCTCCCTTCATTTTGGATGTTGGGTATTTTGTCCCAGCAATGACAGAAGAGTAACTGAGACAGCTGGTAATAAGACAGGGGAGACTTGCAGCTCAGTTGGTGTCTCAGCTGAATTGGCTGAGAAAGTCCTCTTCCATGCTAAAGCTTAGCATCTATTGGCTCAAGGAAGAAGGTATGGATCATCCACAGTAGACTGCTATTCAGGCTACTGCAACACTAGATATTTTATACTTTTGGGCTTAATTATTTTGTAATAATTAAGTGAGTGAGTATGAAGGGATCTATTCATTCATTTGCATATAGGAAAATAAGGCCAAAAGACCTTATATGAGGCTACATAGTGATATGTAGCCTCATTTTCTTTATTCTGTATCTCTTTAACGACATATCCATATAAACTCCCCCAATGGAAACCTGAGGGCTATAAATCCTTTGCTCAATGGCAGAATGCAAATGAAAGAAGAACTGCAGGAAAGCAACAGGGAAGGACTGAAAGAACCATGCACTAGTTGCTTTTCCAATGCACAGGTGGAAGGTCAGCCTTCTGTGGTGCTACGGGACCTTCTGGGATAAACACAACATGCTGACGTAAGAACTTGCGTGTGAATTTGTTTTACTCAGTGTAGCAACTGAGTTTAAATTGTGAGAGTTGACCTTTGAAGAAATCATGCAGAGTGAATAAAACTTGAGCTGCAAGCATAAGTGAGTCTGGAAACATGCTTTATAATCCAAAGCACTTGTGTAGTGAAGCAAATCATTACATTACAGTGATACATGTACACTGCTTTTTTTTTTTTCGGTCTTTTTTCTGAGGTAGGGTCTTGCTATGTACTTCAGGCTGGCCTTGAGCTCATTTTGTAGACCAGGCTGCTCTTGAACTGGCAAGGATCCTCCTGTCTTAGCCTTCTTAGTGCTGGGATTACAGGCGGGCACCACCAAAGCGTGTGCTTGGCCTGTGTGTGTGTGTGCAGAGGTGATGTGGGTGTGCGTGTGCCCGAAGGAAACAGCTGCTCCTTGCAGGAGGCCAAAGGCTGAGGCTAAACAAGTGATGAGTGTTACTGGAGGGGGGTTGTTTCCTGTCGAATTGCTACCTCTACTATGGAAGACAAAAGCATTGCCATTTCAAAGTTTGTCAGCTTTATTAGTGTTGGACAAAAATTGGTATGTTATAAAAATGAAACAGAGCTACAGTTTTGGGACAAAATTATAAAATTAAAGGTGCATGTAACCTTTTTATATACTGCTATAAAGTATTTTTTGAAGAGAGATATGCAAAGAAGCTATTACCTACATGAGATGTATATTTAAAGATTTTTTTCATCCTGGTTGCCAGGAATATGAAAAAGCAGATATATTTAACCATAACATACTGTGATTCATCAAATAACACAAAGTTTCATTTCACGGAGTTTACCTGTTGACACCGATTTCAGCTATCACTTTTTTGATCATGTAGGAACAAAAGTTATATGGTCAGAAATATAGGATTTGAACTAATGCTGATTCAAGTTGTGTTGTCTCATTGTATTGTCTTTTCAAAGTGCTGCCAGTTGAAAAGGGATGCATTATGTTTACAAATCTGTTGTGAAATGTTTGCCAAAATTTTAGTAGTATCTTTAATAAAGATGTCTGTCTCCAGCATCCAAGAAAATTAAAAAAAATATTAAGCACTCTATTCCTTTCAATAAACCAACAGAAACTAGTAGTGCGATTATCTTATTTCCCCCTTCTTTCTTTTTTTCCTTTCCCCCATCCCAGTTCTTCCCTTTTGAGCAGTTTTTTCCCTTTCATAATATCTATTGTACATTCAGATTTGATTTACTCTTTCAGGTTCTTACACTAGGGAGACCGCATATGTGATTGATTTTCAGCTTCATCCACTCCCTATGGGGGAAACTTTAGCAGGTAGGGGCTAGTGATGTAAATAGATGGGATGGGTGCCCTGAAAGGGATATATTGTCCATTGCCCTTCTTTTTTCTCCTGTCTTTTTACTTTCTGAGCCATTTTCCTTGGCCACAAGCTTCCATTGTGATTGGCTGGCTCACCACTGGGTCAAGCCTTCACTTGCCTGTGAAAATTTCTTGAGAAGGGTGATAACTATTTTCTAGGGCCTTGATGATTCAACAAGAAGAATTGACTCAAGTTCAAATAGAAGAAAGTGAGGAAGGTCATGGAAAGGACTGCTTGAGAGCCCAAGTTCTGGGACGCTGGATCAGGCTGCTAAGAGAAGCTGAATGGCCTCCTTCCTTGGAAGTCTCAGAGAAAAACAGTCACAGCTCCCTGAGAAACTGGTCTGTTTTGACTGAAGCAACTGCTTAGGAAGACAGGCACACAGAACAGTGAAGGACAGAGAACACTTTTAAGACAGAGACCAGGGGGGCTGGGGAGATGGCTCAGTGGAATAAGTGCTTCCCTGGCAAGCGCAAGGGCCTGAGTTCAATCCCCCGTTCTGAAAAAAAAAAAAAAAAAAAAAAAACAAGACAGAGACCAGGAATTCCTCTTTGCCCACACTCATCTCTCAGAATGAGGAGGGCCACTTCCGGGACGCTTAGTGATGTTCAAGAACACTGGACAACTAACTACCAGTGTGGAGTGGGCTGGTAGGTTGTACTTCTTACTCCTCTTGATTATGGTTCTAAGAAGTGAAGCTACTATTTTTTTTTTTTTTTAATGATGTTCTTACTTTTAGGAAGGTAGAGATAATATACATTTTTCAGGTTCTTCCTGTGCATCTGAATTTTGTATTTGCTCCTCCCTCTCAGGGCTCCACCTTTGGGTCTAGGCTGCTTCTGGCCAGGGCAAAAAGGTTCTTCTGGGTGATCCACACTGGCATTTGAATGTTTTTCTTTTCTTTTCTTTTCTTTTCTTTTCTTTTCTTTCCTTTCCTTTCCTTCTTTCCTTCCTTCTTTCTTTCCTATTTCTTGCTTCCTTTCTTTTTAATGTATTTGATATAGGACCTCACTATGACTGACTGCTCATAGTTCTCCTGTTTTCAGCCTCCCCAGCACTGGGATTATAGGTGTGTGCCGCCATGCCCTGTCTCCATAGCCCACTCAGTGGGCCTGGGGGCAGGGCCAGTGCAGCTTTGGCATTTGGATTTCAAGCCTAATAATAAATACTGGCCAATGCTTGCTTTGGTCTTCCCTTGGGGTAAATAAGCTATGCCATTGAGGTCTGGAATCTATGGTCAACACCTATCTGTCCTTTTCAGTTTACCAAGGGGCAATCAGATTAGGGGAATTACCATGGAGATAACACATGCTCCTATGAAATACTCCTTCACTGCTCTCTGCAATCTGTGCTGTGACCATCAAGGTGTGCCAAGTGAACAACTCTACCATTGCTACAAAGTTGTCAGGCTAGTTTTGCTTATCGGGAGATAAGCATCGTAAGAAGAAATGATCTTATTTTGTGATAGGGTTATAGAAAATCAGAGTAGGACACTGGTCCCATTGATAGGAGTCTAGACAAATGCTCTACATTTAACCTATTTTGCTTCTTTCTTGAAAATAAAATTCAAGAAAAACGCTTTGTTCTTTCAGTTCTTAGCTAGTTATAGCCAAACATTTTTTCTACTAATCTTAAAATTTAAAATTAATAAACTTACAAAAACACAGAGACAGAAAATGTACTGAATCCTTAGTGACATGTTTACAACAAATTCAGGGCGAGCACCAACCCCAGTTTCCGGAGCATCCCCCGCATAGATGCGGGCTCCCACCTCCAACCTGAGTGCACCACTTGAGACATTTTCCTTTTTCCTCTCTGCTAAAGATTGATTTCTTATGGGAGCCTTTTTGTATGTGGGGGTCCAGACTAGACAGACAAGAAGCGCTATTTAAAACCACAATTTAGAGTCTTTTCCCAGCCTGCAGTTATCAACCCAAATCCTATCCCTTGTAGATTTTTCTAATAAAATCCCTGGCAGAGGTAGAGGCCCGCCCGGAGGAGCTGGAGGTGCATGCCTTGATTTCCCCAGCACTGGTTTTTTTTTTTTTTTTTTTTTTTTTCCTACTGCATCCATTCTTCTTGTCAGTCCCTCAAGTTTAATTAATAAAAATGACATCTAATGATTAGAGCAGTAAAGTTATTCTGTGATTTTCTTTTAACCCTGAGGTCAGAATTTCATCAGATACATATTTAGCTTTCCTTTCTCTATGGAACTGTGTCAGGAGGGCCAAGCAGTTTAAACATTAACCGACGAGTAAAAGCAAACAAAAACACATCCTGTGGCCTTAGTCCGCTCACCTTATCTGTCAGTGACTTGGTTTCTGTGGAAGGAGGTGCGGGTGGGTGTGAATGTGCGTGGTGGGTGTGCTCGGCTGTTCCCTCCGTGCTCTCCAGCGTTTCTCACAGCCTTAGCATGTCCTGGAAGGCCTTCTCGCAGCGCAGGTAGCGGGCAGGGGCTGCAGACCCAGGACTGGGGAGCTCCACGCAGACACTGGAAAGAGCCGCTTGGCGAGGAGCCTGCGGAAAGGCCTGCAGGAGGCACACGGATGAACAGAACTAGGAAAGGAAGCGAGTGAGGAGGCCTGCCCGAGTCGCAAGGCCTCCGCTAGCGCCCGTGACAAGTGACAGGCAGGTAAACAGGTAGCAGGCAGGCTCAGACCCAGCCCCGCGCGCCGTCCCGAGGAACCC